TTATATATTAGCTATGAAGATAGGAGAATAGGGTTTATAAACCATAAAATTTTTTTTAATGTGTTAAACTAACTCAATGTATCTTTTTTTATGGCTTCCAATGAAATTATAATTTTATGGAATCTTATTTTTGACTATTTTGCATCACTTTTTTGTTTTTAGAAATTGTGATAAAATATACATATAACAGAATGAACCATTTTAACCTTTTTAAAAGATTTTTAAAATTGATTTTTAGAGAGAGAGGAAGAGAGAGGGAGGATGAAGGAGGGAGAGAGAGAAAGAAACATCAATGTGAGAACAAGACATCTATTGGCTGCCTTCTGCATGCCTCCTACTGAGGGTCGAGTCCACAACTCAGGCATGTGCCCTGACTGGGAATCGAACCAGCAACCTTTGGTGCATGGGATGGTACCTAACCAACTGAGCCACACCAGCCAGGGCACCTTTTTAACTATTTTTTAAGTGTATAGTTCACGTTGTTGTTCTCATCATCCCTAACAAAGTCAGTAAACACCAATTCCTCATTCTCTCTTTTCCCGACTCCTGGCACCCACCATTCTATTTTCTATCTCTATGAATTTGACTATTCTAGGTACTTCATGTAAGTGGAAAAATACAGTATCTGTACTTTTGTGTCCGGCTTATTTTCACTTACATAATGTCTTCATGGTTCATCCATGTGGTAGCATGTGTCAGAATTTCCTTTCTTTTTAAAGCTTAATAATACCCTATTGTGTATCTATGCCACATTTCGTTTATCCTTGGAAGTGGCCATGAACATTTGTCCCCCTCCCACCCCCCCCGCTCCCGCCTTTTGACTATTGTGAATAACACTGTTGTGATCACTGGTGTACAGATATCTGTTTGAGTTTCAGTTTCTAATTCTTTGGGGTATATACCCAAAAGTGAAATTGGTAGATTATATGTTTAATTCTATGTTTAAGTTTTTGAAGAACCACCATATTGTTTTCTAAAGCTGCAACATTTTACATTCCTACCAGCAATGCTCAAGTGTTCCAATTTGCCCACATTCTTGGCAACATGTATTTTGTTTTAAATAATAGCCATGCTAATGGGCGTGAAATTGTATCTCATTGTGCTTCTCCCTTGTTTTTATGTCAATGTTTGTAGTTAATGTAATAGTTTAGATATTACATTACTTAACGTCTGGTGCAAATTAGATTTGTGCGTGTGCATTTATTCTTCTCCTAGCTCCCAAATTATATGACATGGCTTCCAAGAACATGTAAACAATAAGATTAATAATATAAATAGCTAAATTCCTGGCATTGGGAATATAGAAGGCTGAAAAACAACTATAGCCAAAATTAGGTGAGCATGAGAGTGTGTTGTAATGTTCTATACAGTTATTAAAACTGAAGTGACAAATTCAGTCCTGAACTTCCTAATGGCCAAAGGAAAAATGGAAAGAAGGCCAGTAACGTGATTCATTTATTCCAGATGATGTGAGTTCAGGAGGGCAGGGAAAGGCTTTCCTTGGCTCAAAGATGTAAGAAATAAGCTATAACTATTTTAAGTGAATTGATTAAGTTACTGAGACCAGCAGATTTCAGACTGAAAACAGAATTTGGGGTGAATTTAATGGGGTTAGGATTGAAAGTAACTCCCATAACCTGACCATTAGAAGACTTTTTTTTTTTGGTAAAATGGTAGTTTTAAGTACAATTAGGAAAACAAAAAGTCAACTCCTCATAGCTCAGCGGAATGATAGGGTCTATCTATTCCTTTGGACTTTAGTCAGTGTTTTAGTAATGCAACACATAAGATCTTGAATTGTCTCATACATGTTTATAATATATACTTAGCATTTCTTTTCCAGGGCAAAGATGATAAACACACATGTGTTTATATAAATAGTATTCTTAAGAATATGCCCTTTTCTTCCATTTGAAAGGAGGAAAAGATCTTCATATTCAAATCTGATATTGAAATTTTTGTTTCAACTTGAAACTATAGGAATTAACATCTCATTTTCCCAAATGAATACTAAAACAAAATCCTTCATGATAACTAGATGTGTTGCCAAACCAGCTTTCAAGCACTTGAAGAGCAAAGAAAATTAAAAAGTAAGAATAGAAGCCTTATCAAACAGGTGTTTTTAAAGAACCAGGAAAGTGTCACCATTACTCTTACTCTAAAATTAAGAAAATTGGTCTAAAGTTTTACCCAGAAGTTTGGATGGAAGATAATAATGACATTTCCTGAGCATTTGCAATGTTCTGAGCACAATTCAAAGTGCTTTGTATATATTGTCACTCTTCTAAATACCATCATCAGTATCCCCATTTTATAGATGAAGAAACTGAGGCATGGAGCAGCTAAGTATCCTTGCCCCAGGTCATACAACTAGAAACTGTTAAAGCTGGGATTCACACACAAGCATGCAGTTAGCTCTGGAGGCCACACTTCCCTCACTAAATTAAACCGGATCTAGAATTCTACAGCAAATAAACCAGGGAAGTATTGGTTTGGCCAACTGGCAAATAAACATCTCAGACTTCTTTCTTTCTTTCTGGACTTCTTTCTTCCTTCCTTCCTTTCTTTCTTTCTTTTCTTTCTTTCTTTTCTTCCTTCCTTCCTTCCTTCCCCCCGCCCCCCCAAAAAGGAAGGGAGAGGAAGAGGAATAGAAACATCAATGATGAGAGAGAATCATTGATTGGTTGCCTCCTACACGCCCCCATTGGGGATAGAGCCTGCAACTCAAGCATGTGCCCTGACTAGGAATTGAACTGTAACCTCCTGGTTCATGGGTCAACGCTCAATCACTGAGCCATGCTGATTTCTGTTGTGTCATTATAATTTGTTTCGTTTTTTCATTAGATAAATTTAATTATCCTTCAAATTTCCCTTAATACTCTTGTATATAATTCCTAGTGGTAGATTTTTTAAAAAATTAACGATGCTCCATGTCCTTATTAAACGATGAAACCTTAGTAGCTGTTAATTTTTATGTTTTTACCAAGAGTTTTAGGACCATGGAGGAATGCTTATAAAATGAAGTAAAGGAGCAGAATATAAATTTGCTAGAAGCCAAGCTCCATCCCCCACCCCCAAAAAGCTATTTTAAAAAAAGATAAGTTTAATTTTAGCTATCATTGAGTAGCAGAATTAGGAATGATTTCTTATTTACTTTGCTCGATTGTCCATAAAATTTCCTTGAATACTTTTATAGTCCAAGAAATGAAATAACTTCATTTTTCAAAAGGCCAATCACAGTTTTTCATTACAAAAGCACACTGTGCAGCTCCTGGTGATAATCTTATTGTATAATTTAAAATCATTTCTACTGAGAAAAACGATAAAAATAAAATCATGCCCTAGCCCAGCCGTGGGCAAACTATGGTCCTCGGGCCGGATCCGGCCCGTTTGAAATGAATAAAACTAAAAAAAAAAAAGACCGTACCCTTTTATGTAATGATGTTTACTTTGAATTTATATTAGTTCACACAAACACTCCATCCATGCTTTTGTTCCGGCCCTCCGGTCCAGTTTAAGAACCCATTGTGGCCCTCGAGTCAAAAAGTTTGCCCACGGCTGCCCTAGCCGGTTTGGCGCAGTGGATATAGCAGTGGCCTGTGGACTAAAGGGTCCTGGGTTCAACTCCAGTCAAGAGCATGTACCTCAGTTGCAAGCTCAGTCTCCAGTCCTGGTCCAGGCCCATGTGGAAGGCAACCAATTCATGTGTCTCTCTCACATCAATGTTTCTCTCTCTGTCACTCTCTCCTTCTTTCCACTCTCTAAAAACAATGGAAAAAATATCCTCAGGTGAGGAATATATCTATATAATTTCCACAGACCCCTGAGCTGTATGAATGAGGTGGCACAGTTTAGACCTGTACTATCATATATGATTCTAAATTAATTAATTCTTTTTCATTCTAAATTAGTTAACATTAAATATAATGATAAGTTCAATTTATCAGTCATGCTAGCCCCATTTTAATTGCTCAGTAACCACAGGTGGCTAGTGGCAGCTTTTCTATCACCACAGAAGGTTGCAATGCACAGCACTGGTTTCGAAGAACCTAGAATCTGAGGTCAGACAACTTGGCATCGATTCCTGGTACTAGCTGGTACTTGCTATGTGAAATGGGCAATTTACTCAACCTCTCTGAGCTTACTTCCCCACAGACAAATTGGGACTAATGATAATATCACTTACCTTGTAAGGCGATTAAGATCAAATAAGATAGTGCTTGTGACACTGCTCTGAAAACTATAGTGTGGCTTACCAGGTAGCTAGCTGCTGCTTCACGAGTCTCCCGGTTTGAGCTTAATCCTTTTGAGGACTGATTCTAAATCCAAGATTTTTGCTTGAATGGCACCATTAAAATCACACTTAGCCACTCTTTACACAGCTCCTCGGCCAAGTCCTTGGCAATGTGCATGGTCCGATTCTCCCTTGTGAAAAGCATCAGCGCACAACTCTGTATCTATCTTGTATAGCACCTCAAAGTTTTTCTTAACAATGTAAATACATTGCTCTATTTCCATTCCCAAGTGAAAAAGACTGTATTTGAAAAAGAAAGAGGCTTTGTCTGCCAAAGAAATAAATGTGGGTGAAGTGCTATCACTGAAGGGAAATCAATCTGAGTTGACAGGGCAGGAATTAAGCAAAAGATGTTGCCATTTGCTGCAAGAACGTAAGCTTTTCGCTGACAATTACAGCAGGTTCTCTCTTCAAAGCTGATTAAGCGGAAGTACTTGCTCGTTCATTCTGAATGTTTTTCCGAGTCAACTTCTGGTTTTTCGTGCAATACCACGTGACTAGACTATTTTAGAGCTGCTGCGTTTCCAGAGCGGGTCTCCATGTTCTTTCTCATGTAACCACCCGATGGTTAAGCATGAGCCTTGTATGTCTTCAAAAGAAAAAAAGGGGGGGCGGTGAAGGGGTGAGATGGGGGGTGGAGGAGTCAGGTTCTGGCTGCACTCGTGCAGATGCCACCACACTCACCCTCCCTCTCTGCCTCCCCCAGGTTTCCAGCAGCCGTGGATGCCTCTGACATTATGACTGCAGAAGATTCCACTGCAGCCATGAGCAGCGACCCAGCCCCCGCGGCCGCGGTCAGGGTGCCCGAGGGTGTGGCCGGCGCGCCCAACGAGGCGGCGCTGCTGGCGCTGATGGAGCGCACGGGCTACACGATGGTGCAGGAGAATGGGCAGCGCAAGTACGGCGGCCCGCCGCCCGGCTGGGAGGGCGAGCACCCGCAGCGCGGCTGCGAGGTCTTCGTGGGCAAGATCCCCCGCGACGTGTACGAGGACGAGCTGGTGCCCGTGTTCGAGACGGTGGGCCGCATCTACGAGCTGCGCCTCATGATGGACTTCGATGGCAAGAACCGCGGCTACGCCTTCGTCATGTACTGCCACAAGGCCGACGCCAAGCGCGCCGTGCGCGAGCTCAACAACTACGAGATCCGCCCGGGCCGCCTGCTCGGCGTGTGCTGCAGCGTGGACAACTGCCGCCTCTTCATCGGCGGCATCCCCAAGATGAAGAAGCGCGAGGAGATCCTGGAGGAGATCTCCAAGGTCACCGAGGGCGTGCTGGACGTGATCGTCTACGCCAGCGCCGCCGACAAGATGAAGAACCGCGGCTTCGCCTTCGTGGAGTACGAGAGCCACCGCGCGGCGGCCATGGCGCGCCGCAAGCTCATGCCCGGCCGCATCCAGCTCTGGGGCCACCAGATCGCCGTGGACTGGGCCGAGCCCGAGATCGACGTGGACGAGGACGTGATGGAGACCGTGAAGATCCTCTACGTGCGCAACCTCATGATCGAGACCACGGAGGACACCATCAAGAAGGTCTTCGGCCAGTTCAACCCCGGCTGCGTGGAGCGCGTCAAGAAGATCCGCGACTACGCCTTCGTGCACTTCGCCAGCCGCGAGGACGCCGTGCACGCCATGAACCATCTCAATGGCACCGAGCTGGAGGGCTCGTGCCTCGAGGTGACGCTGGCCAAGCCGGTGGACAAGGAGCAGTACTCCCGCTACCAGAAGGCAGCCAAGGGCGGCGGCGCGGCCGAGGCGGCAGCCGTGCAGCAGCAGCCCAGCTACGTGTACTCGTGCGACCCCTACACGCTGGCCTACTATGGCTACCCCTACAACGCGCTCATCGGGCCCAACAGGGAATACTTCGTGAAAGGTTAGTGGGGACTGTGCTCCTGGGCAGGCCCCCCAGAGCCGTGTCTGCTAGGCGGGCCGCGCCAGGGATGTTGTGGCTGTAACTGAGTTGGTGGATGCTGACCCCCTCCCTACCTACCCTCATTTGGATGTCAGCTCTGGGTTCCTTGCTGGCACTTAGGAATTCACCTCTCTAGCATTGAGAGACATGCAGAAGGTTCCTGTGTATGGAGTGAGCAGTAGAATCACGGGGCATGCAAGCTCTTGCATGCTGCCTGCCTGGGATCTACCCAGTTGGGGGTCTAGTCTCCAGGTCCTCCAGTTAAAACCTACCTGTGTAAAAAGAAATTCTATCTTTAATATGTAGGGGAGTAGAGGGCACAACGTTGTTGGTTTGCTTTTTTGTTTGTTTGTTTTTCGATCATTTGACGAGGTACAATAAAACCAGGCATTATATGGGGAAACAATACCAAGATTCTGGGTCCTGCTCTCGGGTTGACTAGCCCTGTGACCTCAGTCCGTCTCTCCCACCTCCTTGGGCCTGTGTTCTCACGCATGAAATGAGGAAGATAAACCAGGAGTTCCCTTCCAGTTCTAACTTTTTTTTTTTTACAATCGATGACATTTTTCTTTATTGAAGTTACAGTTGCAATCGTAGGAACAGCACCCTGCAAGTTCATCTCTTGCATCAGGTAGACATGCGCAGGATGGGAATCTAGGCTGCAATGGAATGTTGGAAGCATCTTCCCCAGCTCACTGAACAACAGAGGTGTAGCCCCCTGCAACTTAGACTCAGGGCCGACATCTAAATGCTAAGCACCTTGCGTTGAGATCTGCCTCCTGTGCTGTCACTGTTGGTTGCTCATCATTTTTTGTGTTGTTATTATAAGCAGGCAGCATAAGAGGCCGGGGTCGAGGTGCAGCTGGCAACAGAAACCCAGGGCCCAGGGGTTCCTACCTCGGGGGATATTCTGCTGGCCGTGGTATATATAGCCGCTATCATGAAGGGAAAGGAAAGCAGCAAGAAAAAGGATTTGAACTTGTACCGAATTTGGAAATCTCTACCGTCAACCCAGTTGCCATTAAACCTGGTGCAGGTCAGTATAAATGAGAGTGAGAATGCATCCATTCAGCCTAAATCCCAACCCTCTCTTTGCAGCAACCCCAAGCCTACCTCGGGTTCATGCACGTGGGTTTCTCCTCTGGCAGGCAGCCAGAGATTAGGCAAAGAATGTGGCCTCCTGACCGTTCTTAACCTGGAATTTAAGAGGACTGTCTAGCTTTGACCGTGCTCAAGTCCAGCTTTCCAATAGTGGGTTTTTCAAATGTGTGTCATCCGTTGGTAGGCTTTTTCTCAATCTCTGACTGAGTCGGCAGAGTTGTGGGGGCAGGAGGCGGGTAATGGAAGAATATGAGGCTGTTCTGTATCTTCTGTCAGCTCAAAACTGTCTTTTCCTTCACTAAATCCGATTTCCACTCCAGCCATCAGAAGCCAGAGGGTGCAGCTAGCTTACTGCCATTCTGAGAGTTGTAGAAAATTCCCCTTCTGGAGCAACGAGCACTACTTGTCCCTTCTCATGGACTTAACCAAGCTGGACCTCCCGGGAGCAAGAGAACAAGGCAGCTGCTAATTGCCTGGATTCCAATTCCCTGCACTCATTTCCTCCTCGCCCTGGATCAATAGATTGGAGTAGGGCTGCTCAAGGGATTCAAGCTAGGAACCTTGAACTTTGCTTTCCCCTCCAGGCCTCTCAAACCAGTTTGCCAGTGCTGTTGTGCCCATTGGTGAGACAGGTCTTTCTGGCCGTAACCTGCAAGGAACTTTAACTCCACTGTATGAGCACAGCACAAACTCCTTATTATTAGCACACGCCAGGGGGAAAAGCCAGTAATGGGTAATCAGGGCGCTCCTCCTCCAGACCACTTCCTGGTCTCCCTGAGGGTAGATTGAAGAGCTCTTAGAGAGACCCCTCACTTCGAAGTTCAGCTACTCTGATTTTCTTCTGGTCCTTCCAGCTGACAGAGTCAAGGGCGCTGCTCATTTTGGGCAGAAGGTTCGTGTAGGCCACCTCAGGCTTAAAAGCATTTTCCCAGTAGAACTTCCTTTTGAATTTAATTCAGTGATATGATTTGGGTTTTTGTTTTTTGGTTTTCTGTTTTTTTGGGGGGGTAGGGGTGGGGGAGTGTTGTTTGTTTTTGTTTGTTTTGGCCTGTGAAAAAAATTCTGCAATTTCTGCAACTAAGTGACTCTTTAGACTGGATTTCTGTATAAATGCCACTGATGTTATAATCATTGTAAAACTGTTCCCGTGTCTTTCTGTAATTCCATAAAACAGAGCCTGGAGACAGGAGTTGCTACGTCTACTTGTTGGAAAAGGGACACCTTTTGGCAAGCTGCAGTAGCTTAAGGTTTAACTAGAGAAAAGAACTCTTTAAACTATCTTTACTGCCATAGTCGCGTCCTGGGGCCCCAGGTAGAAATTCCTGAGGGCGGATAACCAGAACAAGCCAGAGTCAGTCTGCACAACTCCAGTATAGCTGAAACGACAACCCTCTCTGAGCCCCCGCCCCTTCGCCTCTATTTCTGTTCAGTCCGGAAAATTAGAACTTCCCATTGTAGGAGAACCACCAGTGCAGTGATGAAGTGACTGGGCACAAGACCGTATGGTTGGAAAGGCAGTTGAAAGATTTGGCTAAAGCTTTAGGAAGATTTTATTGGATGACCATGCCATTGTTTAGCCTACAGTCAAATCTGTTTCTTTACCTTATATCAAGTCAGCTTTCATTAGAATAAATGTGCCTACTGTTGGAGAAAAACCATAAATGAAAGGATATTTGTGTATGCATTTCATATTCTTGTTTATCCTTTCAAGACACACACACACACACACACACGCACTTGCACAAATGCCCCCAAATCAGGGAGAGTATATTTTCTTTTTACCTCTATTAATCATACACTGACATTCGATAACGCCTGTCTATTTGAATCTCGGAGAGATGAGGTGATCTTTACTCACAGAAACACCTCTTTGAATTGGCCGGTCCCATTAAAAAAAAAAAAAAAAGTCACTATTGCTTCACTATTGAGTGGACATTAGAAAAGTAGGGAAAATTTCATTTTTACGGTGTATTTTCCCTTGAATCAGTAATGTTGAAATCTGAAACACAGGTGGGGAAGACATACACAGACCTCTGAGTGCTCAGAATGAAACCCTCCACTGCACCTGCTTCATGGAACGCAGTGAAACTGAAAGGGCAGTAGGTCTGATGAGGGGAGAAGTGAGTGAGACAGGGGCCTACTCACCCCGCGGGGCCTCCAGCCTCTGTTCTCAGAGCCTGTTTTCTCAGCTACAAGGCCCCTTCTTGCTCTGTAGGACATCAAGAGTAAGATTCAAAATGAGATTTTTCAATCCAGAGTTCCTTCGCACGGCCCCGGTGTAGCTGAAACTAACAGGGAAATGGTGCAGAAACCTAACTCTAGACTTTCCTCCCATGGTGATCTCTTGGGAGCCTAAGTCCATGCCCACGTGGTTCCTTTTGAAAGACCAGCGGGGGCGGGGAGGGGGTACCTGCCACCTCCTCTCTCTCCTTCTTGGGTAGCACCTCCTCACCTGTACTGAGAAAGCATAAGTTAGCAGGGAGAAGCCCATGGCTGCCAAACTTGGTTTTTAAAAATGTCAAGATGGGCCTTTTAAGTGACGGGAGTGATACACCTGTTTCCCTCTTATTTCTCTTGCAGTGGCCATCCCTGCCATTGGGGCCCAGTATTCCATGTTTCAGGCGGCTCCCGCTCCTAAAATGCTTGAAGATGGCAAAATCCACGCAGTGGAGCACATGATCAGCCCCATCGCCATGCAGCCAGACCCAGCCAGCGCCGCCGCCGCCGCTGCCGCCGCCGCCGTCATTCCCGCGGTGTCAACGCCGCCGCCTTTCCAGGTACAGTTCCTGCCGCAGTCATTGTGCTTTGCGTGTGAGGCCTCCCTTTGCGCGGGTTCATTTACTGTTCCGCAGGGGAGCTCACTGTGTGCCTAGCTCTCTGTTAGAACTATGGAATCGGGTGGCAGAAAAAATGTTTAAATAAATCGTGACAGGACAGAACAATTTTCAATAATAATTGCATAACTCTGCTGTTCTCACTAGAGTTAAAGATGGGAAGCAATAGACAAAAATGACGTGTAATTTTTCAGTGTCACAATATTGTGCTTACTGGTTTGTTTTTTTATGACACAATAATTTTTAACTCATGGTTTTTTGTTAAGGTGCAAGTGTCAGGGAGATAGCTCCCAGTTTCACATTCTGAATTGCAGTTCAATGAAGAATTTCGTTTTTAAATCTCTCTGTGTATAAACATATACATTTGTATAAATGTATACATCTATAAGCATGTATGTACATGGAGAGAAATATCTGTAGAGGTAGAGATATGTGACACTTGACACAATCTGCCTGTAATCATCTCCCCCAACCATATCCTACTATTCCCACATCTCTCCCAATCCACCCTCACCTTTCACCCTCCTCCCCCACCTTTGCTCACAGTGTTCTCTTATGTGCGGTTTCCTCCATCTCATCTCATCTGCAGCATCTTCCCCATCCACTTAGCCTTGGACATCTCATTACCTACAGCGGTACTTGGCATATGGCTGTCAGTATGGTCCATCTCCCCAATTAAAATGAAGCTCCTCCAACCTGGGCTGGTTTGGCTTAATCTCAATCTCTCTCTCTCTCTCCTCCTCCTCCCTCCCTCCCTTCCTCTCTCCTCTTTGCTCCCTCCCTCTCACCACAACCTCCCTCCTTCCCTCCCCACCCCACTCCCTTCCACTCTCTCTAAAAATCAATGGAAACAATATCCTTAGGTGAGGATTAACAACAACAACAAAAAAGATCCTCCAGACGAGGGCTACATCTTACATTTCTTTGTCTCTTCAGTGCATAGCACACGGAATGCCTGTAAGTGAGAGGCAGCCATTTAGCCAAACAGAAAATAAAGTCTTGCTAAAGCTGTTCTTTGTGAGGCAGCGAAATACCTTCCCAGTCAACAAGCACAAATACTCTGGCCGGGGATCTCTTATCTAACTGGATAAGAATTATCCAGAGGACAGAGAGTCTTAGACTCAAACCTCAGAGGATTCCGGTTCATAGAACTGCGCTGCGGCTCTAGAATCCACATTTTGTACAAGCTCCTCAGTGATGCTGCAACAGCCAGGTTTGTGAGCCGCCGCAGTGGGCTGCTGCTCGCTTGCATTTGCCCACGTGAGCACCAGTCTGGACTGCATTATTCAGAAAGCTGAATGTGTATTCACCTCCCAATGTGTCACCGAGTATTCTCTAACGCAGGCCTTTCTGCAGCCAAAAACTGGAATAGGTGTCATTGATTCACACTGTAGAATGACAGCCAAGTGCCGTTACTTCTTGTGAACTGTGAACATCTACAGTAGCCTACAAGCGATACTTGGTGGAATTATTGTAATAACTTCTAATTCCTCTTTATTAAGAAAGGCGTGACTTCTGCCTTTGACATGTAGCATCGGTTCTGATCAGGCCCCGATTCCCGGCCTCACGCTCATGTTGAATAGCAGGCTATAGCTGTCTCTTGTCACTCTGCACTGGATGTCACCTTCAGGGCCTTTATTTGATGTCTCTGCTTAAGAATTTGCTCAATGTACAGCCATCAGTCAGTTGACTCCTTTGGAGAATTGTCCCTCCCTCAGTGTATTCTACAGAATGCCTGGTGCCATCTGGGAATGGCTCCGTTGGGTGTGCTTGGCCTGGGTGCTGTCCCTCAAACCTACGTGCTCTGTGGCCCGCCCTCTGGCCTTTGACCTTGGTTCTCTGCTGTGCTCCATCCTCACCCCGTCTGTGTTCTCGGCCAAACTGCAGCAGAGCAAGGAGCATTTTAAACTCTACCGGTGGGTGGATGGGACACATTTCTGAGCCTGGGTGTTGGGTCAGACCGTAGGATATGAAGAGGTTTCTCTCTGATGTCACTTTCCCTGCAATGGTCCCCCTTGGTGCATTTGTCAGTGAATGTGTGTCCACACATTTGGAAAAGATTGCTCGGGTCTTGCTGTGAACCAGTCTTCCCAGTTCCCAAGTTCCTCTCCCGGGTTGTAAGATGTTGCCAAAGAGGTGTTTGTTGTTATAGGATATAGAAGGCAAGATAATGCAGCTTTAAATAAAGTGCAGGCTCTAGGGTCACAGTGCCACCGCTCCAAAGCTGTTCCTCCCTGTGCCAGCCACTGAGCACATGCTGACCTCTCCATGTAATCCCATACCAGCTTCATTAGTGCTCGTACTGATCCCATATGTCATACAAATAAGGCGCTTAGAATAGTGTCTGGCAAACCACAATCTCTCAGTTATTATTATTATATCATTAGTATAATTATTGTTTTGGTTATAGTTGAAAAAATGACTCTTAGATTATGAAGTCCCTTTGAACATAATTTTGTCACTCTGATTTGCAGATTTTGTAAAGGAATGATACTCCTTTATAAAAAAAATCCAGGAGGAAATAATTTTTTAAACCTAATTCTCTATGTCATGTATCCTGAATTATTTGCAGATGCATTAAGACATAGAGACCCTAGCAGCATTTGCTATGGGGCAGGCATCCTATGGAAGATAAAGTGCTCCAGAGATTTTGTTAAATGTATGTCTTATTTTACCAAAAATCCCCTTCTCTGTGGCAAACACTTTGGGAAATACTGAACCACAGGATGCCCTCTCTACTCACATTTGCTCTGAAAACATAGTATGTTACACTTTCAGGTAGAGAGGAGGAAGTAGCAGGGACTTTTACTGTCGGTGGTGGCAGCTACATCGAGGCAGCTTTAGTTAGCTTATTTCTCCTGATTCATGTGAAAACTCCTCCTTCTCCTTCACAACCCAGCTCAGTGTCTCCACTTCCGAGATGCTATCTCCAACTTCCCAGGGTAATGGGTTCCTTTTGTAAGTTTCTGCAACAGTTTGTATGAATAGTGGTGTTACATCTTAGGTGGTTGAAACCATTGCCTTTGTTGAAGATTGTGTATGGTCGGTTGTTTTGAGGAACAGCTTACGAAGCTGCCTCTTTGGAGGTCTGCATACTTTTTTCCATGAAGTTGCCAGTCCTTGTTTTTGAAATACCATCTTCCTTCAGTTAAGTATGAATTGAGGCAGCTGGCACGTATTTTAGGTCCCTGTTTTAGGGGGTGAAATATGTTTTTATTGACTTTTAGAGTGAGGAAGGGAGAGAGAGAAACATCGACCGGTTGCCTCCGTAAGCACCCCGGAACCAAACCCACCACCTCAGCATGTGCCGTGACCGGGAATCTAACCAGCAACCTTTTGGTGCACAGGACTACACTGAACCAACTGAGCCACACCGGCCAGAGCTAAGGAAATGTTTAATGACTGTGAGATCGACTAAGTAAAGGGTGGATTCTCAGCTTCCTTCTCTAGTTCCCTGGGCATATGCTGATAGAGTGAATGGTGGGTTGAAGATTCCTTTAGCATTCTGGTTCTCACTTTCACCTGTGGAATTTGCGTGAGCCTTGAGGATGCAGCTCCACCTTATCTTAATGGCTCTTTTCACCCCCTCCCCCCACTTTAAACAAATATTTGTTCTTTGTTTACTCCTCTCCCTCCCCTCCCTGAGAGTGGAGACCTTTATTTTTACACCTGGGAGTTGAAGGAATGAGTGGAGTTGTTAAATGAATGGATGACTAAATGGGGAAAGGTGCTCCCGATCGGTAAGGATTCTTTTTCTCTTCTCCGCAGGGCCGTCCAATAACTCCAGTATACACGGTGGCTCCAAACATTCAGAGAATTACTGCTGCCGGGATCTATGGGGCCAGTTACGTTCCCTTTGCTGCTCCGGCCACAGCCACGATCGCCACACTACAGAAGAACGCGGCCGCGGCCGCCGCTGTCTACGGAGGCTACGCTGGCTATATACCTCAGGCCTTCCCTGCTGCTGCTATTCAGGTTCCCATTCATGACGTCTACCAGACGTACTGATTCTGGGGGTGAGAGCGGAGACGAATCGTGAAACTACCACTGAAGGAACACTTTACTATTTATGAAGAAAGAGCATGGTGGCTTAGCACACAGATGAAACCTGAAAGTGAAGAATGTAGTCAAGTACCATACTGAAATATTTTATACACATGAAGTTTTCACTAGTTTTTTAAGACTATTTTCAACTTAGCAGCCTGTGTTCATACATTTCTAAGAGACTTGTAATGGTTTGTGCCTTAAGACCATCTCTTAAAAATTTGTATGCTGTAGTATGTTTGTATAGAGGTTTTTGTTTTTGTATTTTTAAGGATATATTTTCAGTATGAAGGTTATTTTCTTAACTTCTGCACTCCAGAGATTTCTATTTTGTAGTACCTTCAGTAATATATCAACTATATATTAAAAGGCACACTTGAGCAGCTAGGGAACTATTTTGAAAAAATATATTCAATATTTAAAGATACAAACAATAGTGCTTTAAAACTATCACATAAAACGTTATTTTAAAAATTATACTGGAAAGTGCAATTTTAAAATGAGTAAAACCTCTATTTTTGCTGGCATTAAGGGTTGACGGGGTTACCATGTGTTATCTACGATGGTTCTATTTTTTTAAAAGAAATTAAACACCCGGTCTCTCCTTAAGCCAACATTGGAAAGACTTGTCACACTTCTGGGTCTAAACACTGGAATGCTCTCCCCTGCCACCATTACCCTGGGGCCTGCTCATTCTCTCTGGGTCTTTGCTCTTAAACTTAATATTGCCTTCTACTCCCCTGCTCATCCCCGCCTTCTACCCGCATCCCACCTCCCTGTGTGGCAAGTCTAGAGCAGATGAATTACTCTGGTAGAGAAAACATGGGTGGCTTTTGTACTTCTTCCTGGGTTTTTGTTGGGGATTTTTGTTTTTGGTTGGGGACATATTTTCAATAGCAGACTATGTGTAAGCACAGATTTTAGTAGTTTTCATAAGACATCTTTGCATAGCTATTTAATTGCCCGATAGAAAACTTCAGTTCCTTTTCTCACGCTTGTATTTTATTTGCTTTTGAAGTATGAGTTTGTAGAGACGACGAATGTTATTGTAGCAAGGCCCCCCAGAGATTCCTGTTGCAGAAAGTGACACTTCTAGTTGCCTTACCATGTTTCATGCAAAAATGTCTGTGGTCGCCAGTGGCGTTAAAAATAGTATGTTTATTGGACAGGGCTTCCCTCCGTGGCTGTGCCACGTGGCAGGTGAACTGCGTTGACGGTGCACGCCCAGGAGGAGGGGGAATCCGGCAGGAGTTAAGACATAGTTTGTAAATATCTCCTAATCCTCCTTTTTAGGTTTTTTATGTTGCAGAAGTTCATGGTATAGAGTTTAATGCAAAAGGAAACCATTTTATTTCAATGTTATTAAAAGCTTTGTTTTATTAGGAAGTAAATATATTGTTGCAGTGTTTGGTGCCTGTTTAAAGGCTTTTGTTTAGCAGAGTGGATGTAAAATACAGTAAAATATTAAGATCGTCATCTACTTTATGAAATACATCAACGTGGAATTTTTTTTAAAGGCTCTACCAAGGAAGTGAGTTGTGCAATAAGTAGCAAGTAACACTGTTGTGTTTTTATATAATACTAGAGACCCACCAAATCTTTCCACTCGCTGAATTTTTGCTGGTGGCTGAATTCTTATTTGTGGATTAATAATAGGATCATGCCTCAAACAAATATTTTAGTTTTGTTTTAAATTTTAAATTAAGAGATTCCCAAATTCTGCACCACTCTCCCCCCACCCCTGCCACCAATTTAGAGTGGGATGAATTTTTTATATATAAGCAATATTTATTTATTGTGTGAAGTTATTGGGTGCTCACAAAGGCCTTTAAACATTCCTTCCCACCATTCCTAAGTGATGTAAAGTGATTGTGCAATGTTCCTGATGATGTACCCAGCAAGCTGCACCCAGACTTGAGTCTGTTGGAATGAGTAACCCAACGAAATGCCATTTGGACCAGAGCCGCCTCCTGTGGCTATGTGAGAAGAAGCGGTCTCCTTCCAGTGTCTGATGGCCACAGAGGTTCCCTGGATGAGACTTGGACCCAGTGGTCTTACTGTATTTTACATGTGCCTGTACATTGTTTGGGGGGGAAAGAATAATAAAAAGTAAAGGAAAAAAAATGATATCTTAACATGGCAAATGCCAAACTACCTTAAAAACAAATGTTGGTGACAGCCAGTTAAGTATCAGTGAGCCTCTTATCTGTTTCTATTTCAAACCCATTTCACATACACTACTGAGGTAAGTTTATAACTTGAAATGTGAACTTTTTTTTTTTTTTTAGGATTAAGAACAAACTATATAAATGTAAAAAAAAAAGCTTTAGAGTTTTCTGTTTTCAAACGTGCTAGCAGTTTACTTCTCTTTAGTTGCTTTGTATTTGAAAAAGCTTTAAACTTATTTAGATCTTGCTCCATTTACAATACATTCTTAGGATGTATGTAGTAAATAAAACTTTCTTTAAAGCAATTTCAAAATCTTACTCTAAATTGTGTTTTCCTTATGTCATACTAGGGACCCATAACCTCTTTTTTTTCCCTTCCTAACAAAATTAGAAAAACCCTAACACCATAGAAGGAGTGAACTCATTCAGTACTTTTAGCTGGAAAACCAGCAAGTTGCTATCATGTCTTTTCGTTTGGAATCACCGTTGTAGATGGAGTGCATAGTCATAACTGAGTTATTACTACGTCACACTTGAGCTCAGATGTTGAGAGTTGAACTCTGGGACACTCTCAGCATCTGACTGGACTGGGATGTGGCAGAGCCTGTCACAGCTGTCACTGCTTACGTGTGTTCATGGTCCTGTTAGGCTTCACACGCAACTTTAAAGGGAGGCAGTTCGGGTGACATGGAGCTGTTTGGTGGTTTCGTGAAAGTGCTGGGGTGACCTGAATGTTGGTCACAGCAGAGGAAACCAACGCCTCTGTTTCTCCTTTCCACACTCTCAGCAAGGTTAGCAGAACACTTCCTTCCCCTTTCTCCAAAGTTCACCGCTAACTTCAGGCAGCGCCCATCAGCGGAGCCAATCAAATGACTCGAGGGAAAGTGACAGGCTGTCAATAGAATTACTTATAAAAATTGCCTCACATGGTTCTGCCATTGATTAAGAATTTCACCTTCTTAGTCTTGAGCTGCCTGAGTTGTAGCGTACGGATGCACATTCCTCTTACAAAGGTAAAGGCCCTTTTAGAGGCAGAAGAGGCTTGGGAACTTTCCGGAGGACAGGTCATTAGGCAGTATTTTCAAGGGCAGCCAGATCTGCTGATTCCTTCTTGTCCTAGAAGAAGAGTCCAGATGCCCTTCAAGTTACAGAATCACGGCGTTTGATCAGTCTCCTTAGAAAAGGAATTAACAATCCTACAAAATATGAATTGCACTCTAGTGGGGGCCAAGCTTTGTTCTAGGTCATTGGTTCTCAACCTGTGGGTCGCAACCCCTTTGGCGGTTGAACAACCCTTTCACAAAGGTCACCTAAGACCATCCTGCATATCAGATATTTACATTACGATTCATAACAGTAGCAACATTACAGTTATGAAGTAGCAACGAAAATAATTTTATGGTTGGGGCACCACATGAGGAACTGTATTTAAAGGGCCAGAAGGTTGAGAACCACTGTGCTGCGGTGGCTACAGTATGAACAAAAGCAAAAACATCTTGCACCCATAGAGCTTACACTCCTGAAATTGGGTGAAATCAGTCATGCTAACCACCTACCTCAGAGCCCAGAAAAAGGAAAGAATGGCTTTTTTTTTTTTTTTTACAAGTATAGCTTCTTTTTTTGTTGTTGGCTAAAAAGTGTTTTCATATGCAACCTCTTGGGGGATGGGAACTGACCATAGAATGGCTGAAAATGCATACTCTCAGCATGAAGACACAGCAGCTCTAAGTGAGGCTGCTGGAAATGTGTTCTCTGGTAGATTTGAGGAGTTCTGTCTATGAAGCCGTCCCAGAGATGATGGAGGATGCTAGAGAATGATCGTGGGAAGACAACTCCCTCAGCTCCTCCACTAAAATAGGTGGCCCATGCATGTTTTTAATCCAAATATATCAGTCATAACAACATACATAAGTTGAATGGACAATTAGCAAAAGGGGACCCTATGGACAGTCCAGCAGCCATCGCTGGCATGTGCTGTGCTAGGTGTATTTTGTCAGCTATAATGGACTTCACTGGCTTACCAGACCCTATTTTAAGGATATTAGGACATTTGACATTTTAAAAGAAATGTATAGTATATTACTTCAAGTATTATGTGGTATTTTTTTAATAGTCCTGTGGGCACACAATGTGGCATGGCTGCTTTGATGAAATGGCATTTTGACGCCATGACCCTAAAAAATTACTGGGTAGGTAGGATGATAGAGATACACCCACTTGATCCTTGCCCTACCTACCACACCTTGACCTATTCCCCATCTCTGACCACTCAAGGTCAAGGGCAGGATTCGACTTAAATATAGAAGGAGACTCAAGAGATAACCACTAAGTGTTTGCTAATTCTAAGTACTAAGATGTTGACTGGTTAGAGCCTTTTCTTTGTCCTCTTTTCCCCCATTAGTCTAACCTTCCTAAGTACCCAGTATTCCTCTATTGCCTAACTCCTCACACTACTAAACCTGTAAAAAATGTGATTGCCCAAACACTTAGCTCTGTGAGCAAACACCATGGCCTAGGCAGCAGTTCTCAACCTGTGGGTCGCGACCCCTTTGGCGGTCGAACGACCCTTTCACAGGGGTCGCCTAAGACCATCCTGCATATCAGATATTTACATTGCGATTCATAACAGTAGCAACAGTACAGTTATGAAGTAGCAACGGAAATAGTTTTATGGTTGCGTCACAACATGAGGAACTGTATTTAAAGGCCTGAAGGTTGAGAACCACTGGCTAGTGGAACCAGGTTGAGTTTGCAGTCAGCATGCCTGGGAGGTGAAACCCCAGCTTTGCCACTTGTCAGCCATGTGACCCTGGGAAAGATGCTTCACTCGTCTGGGCATCAGTTTCTTAATTGGTAGAGAAAATAATCCTGCCCTCATAAGGTTATTGAAAATCCGATGAGATAATGAATCTTTTAAAAGCCTGGTGTGCAAAAAATAAAATAAAATAAAATAAAAAAGCCTGGTGTGCTGTAGGCACTCAACAAACACTTCCCTTCTTTATACACTGTAGTGTGACAGCATTCTGCTATAGTAACTCCAGTAAGCCTTTTTATTTTATGCCTTTTTGTTCCTTTCGTTTCTGTTTATTCAATAAATGTTTGTTGAGTGCCAGCTGTGTGCCAGCACAGCATGAGGCACTGGAGAGACAGTGATCAACAAAATCAACCTCTCTGCCTTCCAGATACTCCCAGGATGATAACACAATGTTGCAAGTGCCATAAAGTGCTGGGGACACCCACACAGGCCTGGCCAAGGGGTTAAGAAACATTTGGGGAAGAAGTGGCATCTGAGCCATGACCTACAGGAGGAATAGGAGTTAGGCCCAGTGAGAAGGAAAGAGAGGGAACAAAAGGTGCCAGGTCCAGCCGAAACCGGTTTGGCTCAGTAGATAGAGCGTCGGCCTGCGGACTGAAGGGTCCCAGGTTCGATTCCGGTCAAGGGCATGTACCTGGGTTGCGGGCACATCCCCAGTGGGAGATGTGCAGGAGGCAGCTGATCGATGTTTCTCTCTCATCGATGTTTCTAGCTTTCTATCTCTCTCCCTTCCTCTCTGTAAAAAAATCAATAAAATATATATATTTTTTAAAAAAGGTGCCAGGTCCAGAAGAAAACGCATGGTATATTCAAATCTGCTGCCTCCAGGAGAGAGAGAGAGGGCATGAAGAAACTCAACCTTTGTTCCATTCTGTATTAAACATGGTTCATGGGCCTGTGTTCACTGTGGAAGAAGGAGAATTGGTCCCTATAACAGGGAAGTGGGATGAACCCTCAATCATTTCTCCTTAGGATTTTGGGTTTCTTTTAGAAAATGGCGGAGATCAGTATTTATCTCAGCTGCAGAAGCTGAGGGATTGATTGTCGCAGCAATCAACAGCCTGGTGTATCTGAGTGCTCCCCCTAGTGGGCAACTCCCTCCCTTCAGCCTTCCTGGCTCCAGGTGATGCCCACCCACCCTGATCTGGTGAGAGTCTGTAGGGGCAGCTAAGGCTCTTAGGGTTTCCCACACCTTCCTTTAGATCCAGGTTCCACCTTCTGGAGTCATTTAGCAGCTACATGTGTTGGCCAGGGTGTTGGTTCCCACTCTCCATCTGGTAGCCCTACAGGAATACAGGCTTCTCAGCAAAGGTGATGGAGGTCTATAGTCCTCCAGACGACTGCAAGGGCAGCGGAGGGTCCCACGTAAACTCTTCAGAGGTGCACTGGCTTCCTCGGCGGGATTATATTTCCTTGCAACTCCATTCCGCACGATTATACCCGCAATCAAAAGCAACACCAAACCCTGCATTTGCAAGAAATATGACCTTTCCTGAGCTAATTTTTAGCTACCCTTCTTTCTTGGCTTGCTCTACTTTGTTTGTCAAAAATCTTCATTAATGATTAACCAACCACGAGATTTAAATAGGCCTTAGTCATTCTGAGGCAGGTAAGACAAGTTGCTGAAGCTCAATTGTTTCTGAAATGACCTTGCTGGGGGCGCTGGGTCAAGACATTTTGAGTTTATGGTATTACGATAACACGGGGCCATGCAATTTTGGTTTTGCTGGGATTTTTCCATTTCTTTTCCAGAACCTTTATTTCCAAGAGTGGTGGCACCAGGGAATGGGATTTCTATCAGATTCACCCTGACCCCAATTCAAATATGGTCTTTTGACACTTTCTCAATATTATCCAAAGTGCTATGCAAACTTAGCTTCCTGACAGGCCCCTGGACTTCCTTTCCTCAATGAGATGCTCCCCTAAGAAGAGAAATTCTGGAAATGTGACTGACTCTAAATGTGCTCTAGCATCAATAGAAGGAAGTGTTGTGAGCGTAAGAGACAAAAACAAAAATAACTCCAGAGCTAAGGACGGGGATGAAGGGTCACTCATAAGGATGGGGTTAGTCCACCCATTTTGTAAGGATTTAAAGTCATTTGTTTGTTCTAGAAGTTACACTGATCTCCTAAAAGAGTTCCTCCACCATAAAGGGAATTGGAAAGGAGAGGGGGGAAAATCACCCATGGCAGAACATGAGGTACAAAACCTGGAGTGTCCAACCACTGTAGGATTACAAATATATACAGACACATTCCTGGTGGCTTCCAAATCTCTTGCACCCTAAAGCCCCTTTCATTAAACTTGCTCTCAGGAAAGGAAGAAAAGAACTAATTCACACTGTGGTTTTTCACTAAGCCCCTTATTCAATAAACAGAGGAATAATTCAATAAAAGACCTAATTTTGGAATTTAAGGCCTTAGCCCAGTGGTTCTCAACCTGTGGGTCGCGACCCCTTTGGGGGTCGAACGACCCTTTCACAGGGGTCGCCTAAAACC